CAGCAGGATTCAAAGAGGATAGGGAAAAAAGGCTTCTAAAGGCTTTTAGAAGAGATCTTTTTTGTCTCCTAAAAAACAGCAACACTTTTGGCTGCAAAGAGACTTGCTTTAGGAAACAGGGGGAAAACAGGGCATTTGGAAGTCTCACTGCCTGTTCCCCAGAAAGGGCCTGTTGAAGTTCTTTGTCTGGGCCACCCACTTCCCAGCGTTTCGGCTGCCTTGGGATTGGAGGAGTTGACTTTCAGCATACCCGGAAGTCATGTGCAGTCTGACCTTGTCTGAGAGCTTGGAAGACACCAGGAAAGTCGCACCTGCTTGTTCCCTGGGTAAAAGACCACTGCAGAATCCAAGGGTTTTTAGATTAGATCCAGCAATTGAAAAAGATCCCAGGGAAAGGCAGTTGTGAGCCTATTCTGCTCTGTAGGAAAACGGAGAGATTTTAGGACAGGTTCCACCAGAAGACATTTTATCTTGGAGCAAATGAAGGCTAGTTGAAGACAAAGGGTGAAAACTCAGAAAGCAGATTTGGGATGGGTCAAGATTCTTAAACGGAAAACTTTTAGGAGAAAGCAGGAATCCAAGACTTTGAGAAGGCTCAGAAATAAGAGGGCTAAATGATCCACAAGGTTCCTAACTCAGTTCTCCTGAAATCTTGAAATCCAGTCAGCCTGCATTCCTTTTCTGGACAAAGATGAAGTCACCAAAAGCGCCTTTGTTGCTCATCACCAGAGAAGAAGATTCATTTATGAAACCTTTTCCTACATCAGGGGGCAGGCACAAAGCAGGGAATGTACTGCCATTTGGGATATCTATTACCCCCATCAATGGGGGTTAATAGCTGTCTCAGAGTATTTTACTCACTGCAGTTGATAAAATAGTTGTAATCTCTCATAGGTCACTACGTTCACATTACCAGCCATTTATTTATTTAAAAGATAAATTTAAAACACTCAAAGTATGAGAAACAAATAGGAGGAAGACTTAGTATATGATGGCAGATATGACATTGTTGCCGTTACCAAAACTTAGTGGGATGAAACCCATGATTAGAACATACAGCTAGAAGGATTTAAATCAGTGGTGAAATCCAATTTTTTTTACTACCAGTTCTGTGGGCGTGGCTTGGTGGGTGTGGTGTGGCTTGGTGGGTGTGGCTTGGGCTTGGCAGGGGAAGGATACTGCAAAATCTCCATTCCCTCCCCACTTCTGGGGCCAGCCAGAATTTGCCGGTTCTCTGAACTATTCAAAATTTCCACTACCAGTTCTCTGAACTGCTCAAAGTTTCCACTACCGGTTCTCCAGAACCTCTCAGAAGCTGCTGGATTTCACCCCGATTTAAATTGTTTAAAAGAAACAGACCTAATAAAAGAGGAGGTGGAGTTGCATTATATATAAGAAATTGCTACACTTCTAGAGAAATGCAAAAAAAAAAAAAAGATGAAAATCTTCTTGAATGCATTTGGATTAATATAAAAGGAAAAAAGAATGGCACTGCCATAGGTATATACTACAGGCCAAACAAACAAACAACCAGAGGAAATAGATGGATTTTTTGCTAATCAGTTAGTTCAGGAAGCACACTACAATAATAATGAGGGACTTTAACTATCCTGACATCAATTAGGAGACTCTGCACCTAATGGAAGATCAAACAGGTTGCTGATAAATCTAGCAGGCAACACCATCTCCCAAAAGATAGAGAAGGGAACTAGAGGGCCAGCGATATTGGACTTAATTCTTAGTTACCGAGATAAAATAATAGAACAGATTGAAGTTGGGGGAACTTTGAGAGTGAGCAACCATGTCATGTTGGAATTCAACATAATGCAGATACAAGCAATAGGACAAAGTCCAGCTGGTGTCTTAAGGCTTTAAGAGAACCGATTTCAACAAATTTAGAGACAGCTTAGGAAGGATTCCATGGACGAAAATCTTAAAGGGGATAACAATTCAAGGAGCTTGGGAAAATTTGAAAAATGAGATTATAAAAAGCAGTCTTTTCACTGAAAAAGAAAAATAAGAGATCCTAGAAGAAACTACCATGCTAACGTAACTCTCTGATAAACTCAAAGACAAAAAGGACAAGTATAAAAAAAAATGGAAAAAGGGACAAATAACACCAGTATATAGCTCAAATCTGCACAGATGAAGTCAGGAAAGCCCAGGCTCAAAATGAACTAAGACTTGCAACATATGTCAAAAATTTTAAAAGTTCCTTTTAATGTGTAAAAGGAAAAAAAAATCAGCCCACTAATGGGAGAAGATGGCAAGGAGGTGACAGGCAGCAGGAAGAAAGTGGAACTGCTTAATTCATTCTTTGCACCTGTTTTTACACAAAAGCAAAAACAGTCCAGCCTATCAAAAACAGTATTGTAAAAGGAAAATTAAGAATACAAATCAAAATAGGCAAGAAAATAGTAAGACAATACCTATCCACTCTAGACTAGTACAAATCAGCAGGATTAGATGGATTACATCCCAGAGTTCGGAAGGAACTGGCAGACGTGATATCAGAATCACTGAACAATATCTTTCAAAGATCCTGAAGCACTGGAGAACTAACAGAGGACCGGAAAAGAGCTCCAATCATCAAAAAAGGGGAAAAAATGGATCCAGAAAACTATAGACCAATCAGCCTGATATCAATACCTAGGAAGATCCTGGAACACATAATCAAGCAATCTGCGAACACCTAGAAACAACCAGAGTTATTACTAGAAGCCAACATGGTTTGGCAAATGCAAATCACGCCAAACAAACTTTATTGCATTCTTTGACAAAGTGACTAAATTAGTGGAGGAACTGAATGTTGTGGGTTTACTATACTTGAACTTCAGTAAGCTACTTGACAAACTACACCACAGCCTATTTTTTGTTAAGATAGAAAAATGTAGGATTAGACAGCATTTTGTGTTAAATTTAAATTTACTGACAAAGAAATAGAGACTAGTATAGCTATTTCAAGCTGTTTGCTAGTCTCCCTTTGTTTCTTTGTCGGTAAATTTAAATTTAACACAAAATAAAACTGCCTGCGAAGGCTTCTGGAGTGGGGCTGAAAGGCGAAAGTCCCATATTTGGGACTCCGTCCCATATTTGGGTAAAGCAGGTTGCCCTGATAGACCGGTCTCACAGGAAAAACACTTGATAGACAGCATTATCAACAAATGGATTTGCAGCTGGCTGACCAAACACACTCAATATGTAGTCCTCAATAGAGCTACATCTATATGGAGAGAAGCATGCAGTGGAGTACTCCAAGGTTCTGCTTTCGGCACAGTACTCTTCAACATCTTTATAGAGGATTTAGATGAGGGGATACAAGGGGAACTCGTCAAATTTGCAGGCAACACCAAATTGGGAGGAATAGCCAACAATTTAGAAGATATGCTTAAAATCCAGAAGGATCTTGACAGACTTGAACACTGGGCCCTATCCAACAAAATGCAACTCAGTAGTGGGAAAGGAACGTTTTACACATAGGCAAGAGAAACCAAATACACAGGTACAGATAAGGTACCATGTTTTCCCGAAAATAAGAAAGGGTCTAATTTTCTTTTGACCCCCCCAAATAAGGGCTTGGCCTTATTATCGGGGGGGGTCTTATTATTTTGGGGGTGCAGGAGGCAGTAAGCATGGGACTGGATGTCCCGTTGCTGCCGTCACCTCCCCTCCCCATTCTTCGCGTTGGCCACTGCCTTGACGTCTCCCGCCACCGCTGCTTCCTCGTGGAGCAGGACTCTGCAAGGCTTGTGCCGTTGCATGCACGAACTGAAGCACCGTCACGAGCTTCATCATACCAGCACAGCTGGCATCCTGCCGCTCACGGCTGTGCCAGTATGTCGAACCTCGCGGCTGTGCTGCAGTTCCTGCATGCAATGGCACAAACCTTGCAGAGTTCTGCTCTACGAGGCGGCGGCGGCGGGATGTCTCACAAAGACTCGTCCCGCCAAACTCCTTGAACTCGCCAAACTCCTTGATCTCGCGAGAAAGTTTTTTCTACAACGTGTCTCCCTGGACAGAAAGGCGAGGAACGTGATGGTGCTGGAAAGGCAAGATGTGCTTCTTGCGGCCCAACGCGTCCCACCCCAATGGCAACAGCAGCCTGGCTGCTTCCCTTCCCCACTGTCTCTTTATTGAGAGGGGTGGCAGGTGGGGCAGGGGAGAAGTGAGATGCTTCTCGCCCACCCCACCTGCCACCCCCAAATTGCACCCTGAGAGAGGACATCTGCTGCAGCCTACCCAACATTGCTTCTCACCAATGGGTTGGATGGCAACCAGCATAGCCACAGGGGACACTGGCTATCAACTGAGAAAGTCTGATTTAGCTTCATCAACCACAGCCTTCCATGGAACGAAGGATGCTGTAGAGCAGGGGTGTCAAACTCAAGGCCCCGGGGGCCGGATCCGGCCAGCAGGATGCTTAGATCTGGCCCATGGGGCCACCCTGGAAACAGCAAAGGACTGGCCCACACTGCCTCTACCAGTGAAAAGGGGCTCCCGAGCTCCGTTTTCTCTGGCAGAGCACTTGGGCCACCACAGGCGCCCTTGACACAAGTGACGTGAAGCTGGCCACGCACACCCTGCCCCTCCCCGAGGTCAAACACAACCCTGATGCGGCCCTCAATGAAATAGAGTTTGACACACCTGCTTTAGAGGAAGGTAGGCAAATACACTGATAAGAACTCCCTATGAATTGGGGGAGGAGAAGAATAAGAATCAAATTTATCCAAAAAAGGGGCTACAGCATAGGCATTTTTGCTGGGTTCAGTGAACCTTGCATCATTGCTGCCGTCATCTCCCTATTATCCAAGCCCCACAATCTTTGCAACAATTGAGATCAAACTTAAACACGGACAATATTGAAGTTGTTAAAAAAATAAACAAGGATGGATTACGTCTTTGGAAGACCCTACAGGTACAGAGTAGTCTCCTGCAAATACTAGTACAGGCTTTCCCAGCTTGCTCCCAATTCTTGCCACCCTATTTTTTTCCCTGGGCACCTGAAGTTTGGCATGTTCCTTCAGCAGTCTGTCGTACTCGGCTGTCAATCCTTCAGCCTGTTTGCGCATAGCCAATGCCTCGTTGTCTGCCTTGCTCAGGGCTGGATGAAAAAGAGAGAAAAAGGACCACATCAGTAGTGTTTCAGCATCCTCACACATCTAGTTATTAGAGCAATCACAAGGCAAGGGTGCAATTGAATCTCTCACTGAAAATAGGTCATTCCATATCACAGCTTCTCTCCTCCCAAATCAAAAAAACACAACAGCCTGCCTGTTCTATTATCGGCTTCCAAAAAAACCACCTCTTTCAATTTTCGCAAAACTCCTATCAGTAAAGGATTCAGGTGACTAGTTGTGCCCAGCTATACAGGTGGCTACTAGTTTGCACCAACTCATTATGTAATGGAAGTGTCACAGCCAATTAACTTGTCTTCGATTGAGGACTGCAGAGCTGAGATAATTACATAAGGTTAGTTAATTAGCTAGAATATTTCTTCCCTGGTGATTTTATTCTGAACCAGCAATAGGTTGGCAGTTGACACTTCCATCAAAAATCAAGATGACTTTTGAAAACAATTACAGTGAGATAAAGTTTGTGAACCCATAATACTCTCTTTAACCTTAGAGTACTGTCATCTACAATGTGAACGACTTCATCTAAATTCTATAATAGATTCTGGTTATATAAAACACACACTAACAAATGACATAGTATGCCATGTTTTTACTGAACACGAGGCAACATTCACTGTCTTTGTTGAAAAAAATATGTGAACACCTAGGACAGTGAGGTCTCTTAAGAGGGAAAATTTTAATCAATGAAATGACTTGAGGGTCCCTCTACTATAAAAATAACCCCAAAGATAATCATCAAAGTCTATGCTTTATGGGACAAGCTGTGAAATGAATTCTGCACATTTTACAAAAGGAACTGAGATGCTTAGGAGGTTAAAAAGGGACCATAAAATCATTGTGCAAAGACTTCTGTCTCAATCAGCCGGTGGCAAAGCAGATATTGCAGTGACAAATGGGGAAAATGCAACATTACTGTCACTCTTCCCAGGATTGATCTTTCAAAAAAAAAAAAAAATTGTGACAAAAGCAAGGCAAGCAATATTCCAGAACATCAAAAAGGTAATGGCTAAAAAACTGTAGCCAGTTTTGTATTGTCCAATGTCAATGAGTCTTCTGCATGGAAAACATTAAGAGTGATTGGCATGGGAGAACACCAAACAGAAAAGAGTCTCTAAAATCTACCAAAGACTACCTGGATGATTCTATTAAAACTATGTTCTGTGGAAACATGACCTGAAAATGGAACTTGTTAGTATTAACAAGAAAGATTATGTCTGGAAAAATAAAATACTGCATTCCAGAAAAAGAATCTCATCTCAACTATAAAGCAGGGTGGTTTTCACATCATGTTTGAATCTATTTTGCAAACTGTCCAGATCCTGAGGCTATAATATTTGAGGAAACAATTACTGCTAAAATTCTCATGTCTATCACCTTTAACTGGGCAAAACGGTGCATGATAGGATAATAATTTTCGGACACAAGTACCTCAAATGGGCCAATTTACAGAATGTGTCTAAAATCCAGGAGCCATGACTCCTATAAGATTGAAATTTGGCCAATTTGTGATTGTGCTGCCACCTAGAAGTTCAGTAGACAGATCCCACTCTAGCCCTCTGGAAGTTGAGTAGACCTGCCCCTCCTTTGACACTCGAGATCAGGTGGACCTGTCATAGTCCTCTGGAGGTTAGGAAGACTGGTCCCACAATCAACTGTTGTAATTAAGCTGGCTGGAAGTTGGAAGTCATTGTTTTTTTGGCCGTGGTCATTCTGTTTCTGTTTAGGTAAGGAAATATCTCTGAAACAATGGTCATAGATCCTAGATTCTAAATTGTACCAGCAATTCTACAGTGAAATATCAGAGCATTCATCCATGAGGTGATGCTTAAACAAATGTAGGTCAAAAATTCCAACCACACAAATAAATTTACAAAAGAATGGCTGAAGTAGAAGAATTTTTGTATTTTGAGACCTTAAGCCAAGGACAATTCAAAAATATCAATGAGTTGACGCACTTTATAAAGAGGAATAGACTAAAACATTTCCAAACAAATGTGCAGGACTGAGCAACAAGTACAGAAAAAACTTAGTTGAATTAATCCTAAAGTTTTTTCATATTTTTTCCTAACACAGTGAATGTTAACGTAGTTGACAGGGTGCACTGTTCTGCATATTGCTTGTTAAAAACTTTATATAACTTTATAAAATAATTTTTTCGTACATTAATAGACGGTAGATGAAGTTAAGATTATACTGTAGGTCACAGTACTGCAGGATTATGGATAGTTCTAAATTGCTCACAAACTTTGTTTCACTGTTGAACTGTTGTGGAAATCTGAAATAAGCAGGCAAACTGTAATTTTCAAAATGAGGCAAGAAAGCATTACTATTTTGGTTATTTCAAGATTTTTCTTTGCTTTCTGTTATATAAGGTGGGAGCCAAAAGAATGGAAAATAATGTAAACTATGACATTAAACTATGACCAAGGAGCGGCTATTCTACCAAATAATACTTCTTATAACATACTTGATAGAAAGTACAAAGCATACATATCTCTCTCAACCCAATATGCTTTGTGTGTATAGTTAAGATGAAAGCTATTCCATACCTTCCTTTTAGGAAGGAGGTTAGAAGTAAAATAAGATTCTGAATCAGCCCTGTTCAGATTTTCAATTTTGCACAGTATAGTAAACAATGAAAGTAGATCTCTCCAACTTCTTCACTTTTTTTTGTTTTTCTGCAATATTCAGACCAATCTCTAGCTTTTTGATAAAGTTTGTATTGTGTTTCTGTTTTTGTTTTTGCTTGATTGTTAATATATTTGTTTGTTGCATGTTACCCAGAGTCCTCTGAGATGGAGTGGTTTGTAAGAACTGTTAAATAAACATCTAAATTAAATTTCTATGAAGGAGGTGAAAGATGAAATCCTAGTGAAGCCTTCAGCAATTCAATGCCTCCCAGATAGGCTGGACTACAAGTTCCAGAATTCCCAGCCACAAAGCTAAGATTACACTGGCTAGGAATTTTGGGAATTCACCTGGCAATGATCTGTTGAGGGGATGAGAAAATACTGTAATTTGAATGAGATGTTTGAAATGGAGCTTTTCTAGTTTGGGCCATGATTGGAAACCAGCTCTCCTGAACGGTTCCAAGATCAGAATGCATCACAGTACCAAGGACAAGCATTGGGAAAATTTGCTACTCAACTGTCATTTTTATGGGTTCTCATCTTCTTGCAGTTGATGAAGGGAACAATATTAGATGAATTAAATTACTTAAAAGTATGCACCCTTGCAACTCAACCCAACCCAATCCAACATGTCTTCCTTTTAACTTCTACAAAGACTTTCAAGCAGTATAACTCCCCTTTTACTGCAAGTGCTAACAAGAACGGAGGATTTTTATACCCACTGCTTCATTTCAGACTCAAATCGTGACATCACCCACATAGTAGCTAAATTTGTCACTGCAGCAGTTAAAATTAGGCAACAGTTAACTTCAGATTCAACCTGATAACGTCTTTGGACTATTTCATTTCTCTTTATCCTCCTCTCATATAGCCCTAAATTATTACTGTATTATCAAAAACAACCAAGTGTAGGTACTAACTGAGAATGATCAATTATATTCAAAGCCACTTTGGCCAGAAAAAAACCCACCAAAAACCTTTTTGAAGGACTAGAAACCTCACATGGGCTTTTTGTTGAAAGGAGACAGGACTGAACTGATGATTTGGGAATTAAAAAGGATTAAAGGGAAGGGAATTATATGATAAAAGGAAGGAGAAAAAGAGGGAGAAGCAAGCAAGTAAGATAACTATTGGATGGAAAGAAAGGGCAGAAATAATTCTACATTTTATTTTTATTTTTTTTCCTTTTAATTTTTCTTACTTAACAGTGAAACATTTCTTGCAATTCTCATTTGCCTTATCTATTTTAAATAGGGCATGGTACTCTTATCCACTATTTTGGCTTTTTCTCCTCTTTCTTCTGTGTAAATTACTTGTACCCTACTTGTACCCCACTCCCCGTCCCACACTGTAATATTGTTAAGAATTGTACATTCATCTGGTCATTGATTTGACCAGATTCAAAATTCAAAAAGGATTTGAATCTGAATATTTATAGAGAGAGAGCCGAAGGCAGCAGACCTTGTACTCACTCCTATTTTCTCCCAAACAACCCTGTGAAGTAGAGGTTGGGTTAAGAGAGAACGAATGGCCCAAAGTAAGCAAGTGAGCTTATGGGACTGAGAGTAGACAAACACCTGTGTCTCCCTGCTCCTGGAACAACACCTGCCCCACTAAGCCACACTGGTGCCTGTGAGAAATTAGCCCACTATCCACCCTTTAAGACTGAGACCTGCCTGTGCGTATGGGACAGCACTTTGCAAGGGAGAAAGTCTTTGAATGGGCCTGCCAAATTATGAAGCTTTTTGGCCTCTTAAAGACTGAGCCCTAGCTGAGGGATCAGCACCAGGTGGAAAGCATGCTACCCCTCTTTGACAGCTATAAAAGGCGATGCTGGAAAAAGAGAGATGCCACTTCACCCGGGCAGGCACAAGCAGCTGTTCCACCTTACTACTAGATCACCCTGCGTCCTAAAAATAATGCAAAAAAAAAAAGCACGCCCATCTGGAAGACCTCCTGAATGCTCCTTGTGGCTACAACATAGCAATCTGGTACTATCCATCTGCCTGGCCACTATGCCATTTGATCAGTTGGGGCAGAGGGAAGAATACACCGAAGCGTTATGCAAACCCACTCAGGATTGCAAAGGTCAGTCGCCACCTAGAACTTCTCAGTTCCAGGATTCCTCTAGGGCTGATGTCAACCCCTTCAATTTGCCATCCCTGTATATGGGATCCAGAGGAGCTGCTCAATTGATACTGCAATAGAGAAGAGTAGTCACATGTCAGGGAGGAGCAGGAGGGAGGGAATGACATACTATAGCTTTCCAAGGTTTGTAGACCACCTGTCTCCAACTTCCCTAGGGTGGGAGAACGGTTATGTATGTATGTATGTATGTATGTATATATTTTATTTATTTTAATTCATATGTCAAATTTAAAAACCACCCATCTTACAAAGCAACTCTAGGCGGTGTACAATGATGGGTGTATTAATGAGCAGTTGGTGTTGCAAACTACCCAGATGAACATCGCAATGAATGCCTTGTGCAGCTCTACAGTATCACAAACAGACCCTCTGAAATACTTCTATGTGTTTAGTGTTCAGGACATAGTTTGTGGGAAGCAACAACTGAGTTAGAAAGCCACCACTGTTGGTCTTTGAAGCAGGTGTCCGTATTATCAAGAGGGAACTCTCCTGTTATCTCACCTTCTCTTTCTGACATTCAGTACTTGCACTGTATTATATTTCTGCAAGCATGCCCAGCTCCATGGGAATGTCTTTATTAATTATCTGGGGTTTTCTCAGAAGAATGTAAACTGAAAACTTCAGCAAAACAGTGTTATTGTCCTTGAATATGGATGTACAACTAAATATGCACAAGAGAATAACAAGAAGATAAGCAGGATCGGAGAGGGAAAAATAGCGGTAGGATGAAGGCAGTAACACTCATGAGCCCTCTTTTCTGTGGCCAAAACATTTTCAAATCACAATTACCAGAAGTGAGTGTCTTACTCTGCCACACAAATATATTTACCATAAGCTCCATGATAGAATTAGTAACATTTTAATAATTTAAGTGAAGGAGAAACCGACTCTCAAAAAGAAAATCTAGGCAAAAAAAAAAAAAGAGGAGGAGGAGGAGCAATATCCTGGACACAGTCTCATGTGTGATATACCACAATCTGCATTTATTGCTAAGGCTGACATCACGTTTAGCACTTGACAATTGAAAAGTTGCCCTTCCTTGGTCTAGAAAAGAACAGAAATAGAAGCAGCCCTCCCCACGTAGCTATTGCGTTCTTGCAAATTTTGTTTCTGCAGGAAAGGTTGTGTTCCCAAGTTTTATTCAATTGTGTTCCCCAGTTCAGGTTCTTTCAGCCGAAATGTGCGGCCTTGCATGGATCAGTGTGAACAAAGGAAGTTACATCATCTTAAGCCAGAGATCAGCTGGGGAAGAGGAAGAAGGAACTGAACAAACTACTTGCAGAAGTGGCATATTGTTTTTAGGCAAGTGAGCTTGAAAAAGCCCCAGTTTCTTGCCAAGGCTGGGCATGCACACTGCTGAAAGAAAAATGACCATAAAGAGCCGGAAGGAGATATCTCACAAAGTGATCTCTGCCCTGAGGGTCAATTTAATCAGAAAGCAATTAATTTTACAACTGGACAGAACCTGCAGGACAAGAGAAATGACTCCAGAGAAAGACAGTGTGTGTACAAACAAATGTTCCAGGATTGGCTCACTGATTCCCAAAGTTGGATGCCAAGTGGATTATTTAAAGCCAACAGGAGGAACAAGACTGTACATGAGGAAGGCACATGGGTATACAGTTCTAGTTATAAATAGATACTATATCACCCCTTCAATAGCTTCCAACCTTAAGAGCCAACTGTGCAAAATTTGGAGTAGGGGACAGAGAGAAAACAAGAGAGTTGCTCAAGCAAGTTATTCTTTCTTCCTCTAAATTGCTGGGAAATGGCATTTGTCGTGTAAAGTATATAAGCTTCAGGGTGATCTACGTGAGACCTTTCATGCCTGAAGCTTCCCCTCTCACCTTTTTTGGTGGAGGTCAAGTCATCCTGTAGTTTCTTGACTTCAGCATGCAGAGTTCGGTTTTCTTCCTCCGCCCCAATGCTCTTGATGTCTAGGTCGGCCACTTCCACCCCTGCCAGCTTCAGTTCCTGCAAGTAAAAGAAGAAGCGATACTGAACTGGTGGACGGCGTGAATAAGTTGGGAGAAAGGAACTCTGACCATCTGAAATCAGGTTCGCCAAAAGAGAAGTCTCCTGACTTTTCTTGTAACCATTTGGGCTTTTGCTTATGTGCAGGAGAATCCAGAATTCAGAGGAACCCGGTCTCTCCCAAAATAGCAGAATCACAACTACTGTCTTACCCAACCCTCAGACTCATGTGCTGTTCCGTATCTTTTTCCTGAGGCCCCCAGAAATGATACCAATCTAATTCAATAGTATGCATCACATAATGTATAGTTACCTGCGTTTGGTTTGCCCAATGGAAGTACATCTGCATTACATGCTTCCAAACAGGTGTGACACCTGAACAAAATCCTACTCTCCTCCCTCCCAAAATCACAGTAGAAATTACTACTAATACCATGAACTACAATCACTGACTGGACACATAGTGCCTCCCCCACCACCACACCCTCAATCTCTTCTGATCAGCATTCTTGCCAGTCCCTCTTCAGATATAGCAGATGCCCTCAGAGGCCACGGGTAGATAAATCGTTACGATAAAGCAGTAATTCTGGAAAGCTATGAATAGATTCCGTCAGAGGTTTTGCAAGACAAAGACAAGAATATACAGCTAGGTGGTATCTTTTTGTACTCTCGGCCAAAAGAGCTATTGCAGGGAGTACAAAGGGACAGTAATCGAACTTATGGCAAATTGCTTGGGGAAAGAAGCACTTAAGTGCCCAGCCTGTCTCTAAGTGTGACTCTGACAAAGTCATTTCGGGAGGCATTCAAGTTGTCACAGCACAGGCAGTCCTCGACTTTCGACCACAATTAAGCCCAAAATTTCTGTTGCTAAGCAAGAGATTTTTAATTTTATCCCATTTTACGGCCATTCTTGCCACAGTGGTTAAGTGAATCACTGCAGTTGTTCAGTTAGTAACATTAAGTGAATTTAGCTTCCCCATTGACTTTGTTTATCGGGTTGCAAAAGGTGCGACATGATCCCAGGATACTGGGATCATCATAAATACGAATCGGTTGCCAAGTGTCTGCATTTTGATCACGTGATAGTGAGGATACTGCAATGGTCGTAAGTGTGAAAAAAGGCCATAAGTCACTTTCTCACTGCTGCTGTAACTTTGGTCACTAAATGGAACTGTTATAAATTGAGGACTACCTGTACTTCATGTGCACAGTACTATTTACTCATCCTTAAGGTCTTGTTCAAAGCAGACTTTCCTAACACTTGTAGCCCTGTTACACACCAGCACCTGACGCCAACGGAAATAATGATGTCTGGCATTTTTGTGGCAAGAGAAGACACAAAAGGTAAATCAAGGTAAAAGGTATCAGATTCTCAAGGTACAACGCCAATGTTTGCAATGGCACATACAGAACCTCTGGGAAGGCTCAGCTTTCTTTCCAATTAACCTGTTCCCCCATCCTCCAGTCATAAATCTGGCCATCTGTCTCTGGACCTGCTACCCATGGGATTTATATAAACCTGACTGGGGCCTGCTTGGGAAGAGTGAAGATTATAGGATTGGATGCACATCAGTCATCTAAGCAAGAAGTTTTCATAAGGTTTTGGTTTTTTTTAACTAGGTGCCTATTTGAGGGTTTATATTCATTTGCATTAATTGATCTCAAAACAGAATACACTGTTAATTATCTCTAACTGCCTGCAAAATCTGCAAAAAGAGAAGATGGCTGTTGTCCACACTTGTTCTAGAGCAGTGTTTCCCAACACTGCTCTAGAACAAGTGTGGACAACAGTCGTCTTCTTCTTTTTTTTTTTCCCCTCAACCTTGGCAACTTTTTAAGATGTGTGGATTTCAGCTCCCCAAGCGCCCCAGCCAGCATAATTGAAGTGGAAGAGCCTTTGGTGCAGAAGAAAAGTGAATTTTCAAGAAGAAAGAATGATTAACGTGGACGGTGAAATTAATGGAGTTGGTAGAGCAGGTGAAATTGTCTGCTTTGATTAAAGAAAGCAGCCTTTAGCTTGTTTTTGCTGGGAAACTACCCTTGGATTGCTTGTTTTTGCTTGAAATGGAAAGAAATGAAATTTTAACCTTGGGTTTTGATGATTAGGCTTTTTTATGATGATAGTAGCACCGTTTGTTATGGCTTGTTGTAGTTCAAAGGCTCATCGATGTTTAGTTGTTTGTCTGTACTGAAGAAAGGTGGAAGTTCCTTTCCCCCCCTTTTGGCCTGCACTTCCCAATTTTACTTTTTTTTGCCCTACCTTTCCCATTTTCTTTTTAATTATTTTTTCTTCGCTTTTTTGAATGTTTTTTTTTACTTAATAAAGTCTTTTTGGGGGGGGGGAAACAAGACCGACTGGGTAATGGAGAGGGTTGGATGAGTCTTTTAAAAAAATATTTGAACTGAGAAAGCCTTTAATTCATGGTTCAGTTTCTGTGAGCAGCAGCATACTCAAAAAGGCACAGGCAGAAGTGAAAACTGAATTTCTGCAATGCTGTGCGCAGAAAAAAAGTCATATAAAATTTTCACCAGAGGTTCACACCCCTGTGGAATGTCCTGATTCTGCTTATATCTTTTGTCCTTTATTTCCAAGAGCCTGGCATTCCTTTCCCTCCATTACTAAAGTGCAAGTCATGGCAAATAACTGATGGATTTCAGCCAATTTTTCTACTAGCCATTTCCCCAGCATACTTGATAGCTACTAAAAACTATTCTTCCCCACAGGTGTTCCAGCAAAAATGTATTGCATAAACAAATTTTATGTGGCAACCTCCAAAAACACCCAAAAACAAACCCTCATTCTTTTTTTCAGTATCTTATAAATTACAAAAGAATTTCATTTTGGGGAGGATAAAATTGTTCATACAAGAGCCATTTGGAATAGACTAATGCCCAAATAAACCAGTTGTTTTGCACATCATTTGTGGCAGATGTAATTAAATAAATGATAAATTATTTTTAAAATAAATAATTCTCTTTTCTACCATGATTAACCAGATACTACCAGTATTAGGAAAGCAGGACAGGAGGGCAATAGCCTTCCAGTGGAGTTCTCCAGATTACTCTGACTTGGAAACAGCATATAGCTATCAGGATCTGTAGCTACTACTAGCATTTTATCCATCTGCTCCAAAGTTTATGCTGTGTATTTTGCATTAACATTAGTTCAAGCCGGTCTATACAAATTACTACGTAGTTCTCACAGAACAACCTGCCTATCAACACAGAAGCCAAGTAATCTAGAAAAGAAAGGGGAAATATTTTTAAAATTGCTTGTCCTTAGGCAAGATTTAGTTGCCTTATGTGCATGGTTTCCAGAAATGTGGTGGCAGAGACTCTATCCCAGTTCCCAATATTTTGAAGAAATACAAGTCCCATCTATTTCTCAAGCCACACAAAGCTGGGGGCCCAGTTTTCAGGTCAGCCTCTCTTCCATCCTATCTTACCCTTCTCCCATTTGGGTTGCAACAAGGCCTGCTTCTAGAGCAGGGGTGTCAAACTCGATTTCATTGAGAGGCACATCAGGGCTGTGGTTGACCTCGGGGGGGGGGGGTGGCATGGCCAACTGGGTGGGTATGGCCAGCTTTACGCCACTCCCCAAACTGCTGGCATATTTCCTCTTTGCACTGGGTAGACCAGGCCGAAGTGATGTAGGCCGACTCCTTGCATTTTCCAGGATGGCCCTGTGGGCCGGATCCGACCACATATCAGGCTGAATCCAGCTCCCAAGCCTTGAGTTTGACACCCCTGTTCTAGAGGGAACATCAAAATAAAACCACCTTGACCAATGCGTGTAATCATCAAAGAAAATAGTGCATATGTAGCTGAGAAACCTTGAAACCATCTTCACAAACCAGATTCCTCCCCAACCAAATACGGTTTCTTGGGAAGATAAACTAGCATTTCCTTCACACGACCTCCAACTTATTTATTTTTCAATGCAAAAGTGTTTCATGTAATGTAGGGGGGAGGCAATATGAAAAAGACAAAGAAATATGGAGTTGGGGCTTTACTTTCTCAGAATCTATGAAGGAAGAGCCGGCCGGGTGACCTTGGGCCAGTCAATCTCTCTCAGCCCAACTCAGCTTACAGGTTGTTGTTGTGGGGAAAACAGAAAGAGGAAGGAGCATTAACATGTGTTTGCCGCCTTGAGTTGTTTATAAAAATAATCAAGGCGGGATATAAAATAAACGCCAACTAAGCAACACTCACAGCCAGGTGTGCCGGAGAGATTCTTTCATCCCTTGGCTCCAACCTCACTACCATCATCTTCTGCACCCACATAATAAGAACAGGCAATGCAAGCAAAACACCTTCCCACGTTCATCAGCTCTTCCACAGCACAATCCACTTTCCCATATGAGGAACTGGGAGTCTTTGTGGAGGACTGAACCAATAGGGCTGTGAAGGTGCGTAGGCACACATGCAGGTGCATATCTAAATTAAAAACAACAACAGCAGCAAATGCTTTCAAAATAAAAGCAACGCAGTTGTATTGTGTGTGCGGGGCGTACATTCATTTACATTTGATTTCTAATTTCCAATTGGCCTCACATGGGCCAGACAGGAAAGGCCAGAGGAATGGATGTGGCCCAGGGGCCCGTAAAATGCCTGGGTGTGGTCTCGGGACAGCCCTTTTTTTCTTGTGACCAATCTGACATAGAAAAACACAAGACAACGCTCCAAAGGACACTATGTGACTTCAATCCCCAAATGGGAAAGTTCAATAAGATAGTCAGAAGAGCATAACCTCTCTGGTCCAGGCCAAGTAAAGCAATGGTGAAATCCAATTTTTTTTTTACTACTGGTTCTGTAGGCATGGCTTGGTGGGCGTGGTGTGGCTTGGCAGGGGAAGGATATTGCGAAATCCCCATTCCCTCCGCACTCCTGGGGGAAGGATATTGCAAAATCTCCATTCCCACCCCACTCTGGGGCCAGCCAGAGATGGCATTTGTCGGTTCTCTGAACTACTCAAAATTTCCACTATCGGTTCTCCAGAA